TGAACGTTAACTGTCCAAACTATGTACAGGCAACCCTGCAAATGATCTCCATCCTTGACTGGAAGGAAACACAAAGTCTGGTGAGATTGTCTTGATTTATGAAAATTGCGTTCAAGAGCTAATGCTTTTCCTCGCACGATGCTAGAAATATCACTGGATAAATACATTTTATACACATACCTGTTTCTGAAAAAACAGAGACAATTTAATAAAGTATTTATGTTTCTGATTCTGTTTCATCTCTGATCTGAGATGCGGGGTTGGCAAAACTTAAACGTATTCTCGGGCGATATTGGATGAACTGTCGTTATCTAAAACGTGGATTCCGTTATGCTTAAATGAACAAAATGTTGAAACCAAAGAGTGTTTTACATGAAGACATTTCTCCTTAAAGAATGGAAACATACACTCACTGAAAACTTGAAATATATATAACCTCTATTATGTGAATCTAATACGTCTAATTAATGTCATTTAATTACACTAACGAAATCACGAAATATTCATTACAAATACAAATGATATATATTGTACTGTGTTAGTTACATACTCCTATCGTTAAGTTGTGGATAGTATTTTAGTGCTTTTATGATATCGCACATATATTCTATCTAGTATCTGTGAAATAAATGCAAATGAATTGTTGATACAATTTTTTAAAGTTATTCTTTCAAGATTGTCCTCAAGATCTAAGAAATATTCAAGCCGACATAAATCTTCTGTGTCACAATACGAAGCGTTGATGTTCACTACAAAACATACATAAACGGGTACATTAATGAATATTGAAAACAAATGGGAACTGATCGTGTTTATGGGGGCATAATTAGATGTGAACACGGCATTTCGATGACCTTATTTTGGGACCAATTGTAGTGGTTAATACCAGGTCAGCACGTGTTCTCCTTCCGTGTTTCATACCAGGTCATGACCTGCGATGGCACCCGGTGTTCGTATTACCCAAACCAGTGAGTAAAACTATTTATCATCAAATCGGCAACATTTCAACCATATCGTGACGAGATTCAAACTCGTCGGCAATGGCTAGTGGAACTACCAGAGAGCATCATACATATTAAGGTCAATAAATTCATGTTTGAAGATTCAAACTTGTCGGCAATGGCCAGTAGAACTACCAGAGTATCACAGATATTAAGGTCAAACTTGATTCTTATTATAAAAGATAACATTAAAGTGAAGAACACAGTATAAAAGCGCGCAATAGATCGCCAAAGAAGTGAAGAAAGATCTTCAGTAACCCATGCTTGTCGTAAGAGGCGACTAACGGGATCGGGTGGTCAGGCTCAGCTGACTTTGGTGGACACATGTCATCTGTTCCCAGTTGCGTTGATCGATGCTCGTGCTGTTGATGACTGGATTGTCTGGTCCATTATTCCTCTCTAGTTTAAGATTTTCGTCAACATGTTTAGTTTTAAGAAATATTCAGGCTGACCTTAATCAGCGCCAGCACGGCGTTGGCGGTCACTGAACATATTTCCTAAAACAACATACTAAATAGACGAAACACGTACAATAATGAATATTGATAACAAATTAAGGATTGACAGGTTTATAGCTTGATTCAAATGGATGTGGACACGGAAATTCCATGGTCTTATTTAGGGGCGAACCTTTATCTTGGGATCATTGTGAATTCATCCAAAGAAAACCAGGTCAATACTATCTCCTCCACAGCACTTCATGGCGGTGATGATTAATTCTACAACAGCAGAGAAGGGAAAAGATAGATTTTAAGATACGAAGGTATGATTAGATGTACTGCAGTATCGGTAGAATCAAAGGCGAGTCGGCGTCAACCAGATTCTCCGGCAAGTAAGAGGTACAATTGGAGACAACCTACTGCAGGCGGTTTCTTCATATTTACCATGTTGTACTGATAGAGAGCACCCACTACATTTAACGTCAGTAAAGAGAACTAGCTACTTCACGTTCCTTATTTCCAAAATACTGTAAGTGTCAGGTGTCGTTTGTTTAGCGTAAGAACTATTGCGAAAGGAATGTTTGGGTCTAGAATTTCCCATGAATAAGGACATACTGTTTTATGTACATGATGCGAGCAGTGGGTGCTGTGAGTGGACAAGACATAACAAATACCCGAACATGTTGGCATCACAAGTTTACACCGACTGATTCATATCATTATGGAAGGGAAATGAAATACGTATTGATCTAATATTCTCACGTTAGTGAAATATCGTGTCCACATCTCTTTGTATCAAACCATTAACTTGACCAGCCCACATTTGTATACAATATTCATTAAAGTACGTCTTCTGTCTCTTTAGTATGTGTGTTTTTGTAGTGAAATATGTTCAGTGACCTTCATCCATGTGCGTGTGCTGATGTATAGAATATTTAGGTCAGCTTGAATATTTCTTGAACCTAAATAAATGGACGGAAGCTTGAATAGAGAAGAAAATAGCGAATCATACTACACTTAATTTACTAATAAAATACAATCGGTGAAGCCCATTTGTGGTGTTCCCGCCGTGATGTTGCTGGAGTATTGCTAAAAGCGGCGTAAAACCAAATTCAGTCAGTCAGTCAGTACTAATAAAAGTTACAAAACTATACGTTTTACTATCAGAACAGTACTTCAGTATCGGCTACTCCACAACATGATTACTAGATCCCTTGTCCTGTTGTAGATCCAGTCATCAGCATCAATATCGATGTCACGGGTTACACGTGGATGGTATCATGTGTCTCCTATCTTATAAATTGGGGGTCAGCTTTTCCGGTGTTTTTTCAGCCACTGATTTGGCTTGTCCAGAGTTGTTCATACAGAAAAATAGTTTGTCTTAAAGTGGTCAAGACACGTTACTTATAATGACAAGCCCCAATATGGGGACATTTATCATCTGCCAACACGCTTCCGTGACAGTGTCTTTTTGATTTCCATTTTATATAGCCACACATACATCTAGAAATATCTTCAGTAGACAGAACTATTATTTATTTATCATCAACGGCAGAGCACGAGGTTTGTTCGCTATTTGCAGTGAAAGCCTAGTCCACACATGAAGCACTGTCCCGCAGAGATGATTTGGTACATGTGCTTATTTTGGGTAGGACAAGTTTGTAGCAACGATTTATTTTCACTGGGAAAACAGAACACCATCACCGGAGGCAGAAATGCTGCAATATTTTCTGTTCGAGACATGAACCTCGCTTCGTGTGCTGTTACCTGTTACAAGGATAGCAGATGCATGAACTTTGTGTACACCGAGAGTGACAAAAGATGCGACGGCTACGTGGAATTTCGTAAGTACATATCCGAACACCACCATCATTATATCTATATATGTCTTCCCTCTGGTAAGTACATGTCTGAACACCACCATCATTATATCTGTGTATGTCTTCCCTCTGGTAAGTACATATCTGAACACCACCATCAATATCTCTGTATATGTCCTCCCTCTGGTAAGTACATATCTGAACACAACCATCAATATCTCTGTATATATCTTCTCTCTGGTAAGTACATATCTGAACACCACCATCAATATCTCTGTATATGTCTTCCCTCTAGTAAGTACATATCTGAACACCACCATCAATATCTCTGTATATATCTTCTCTCTGGTAAGTACATATCTGAACACCACCATTAATATCTCTGTACATGTCCTCCCTCTGGTAAGTACATATCTGAACACCACCATTAATATCTCTGTACATGTCCTCCCTCTGGTAAGTACATATCTGAACACCACCATCATTATATCTATATATGTCTTCCCTCTGGTAAGTACATGTCTGAACACCACCATCATTATATCTGTGTATGTCTTCCCTCTGGTAAGTACATATCTGAACACCACCATCAATATCTCTGTATATGTCCTCCCTCTGGTAAGTACATATCTGAACACAACCATCAATATCTCTGTATATGTCTTCCCTCTGGTAAGTACATATCTGAACACCACCATCAATATCTCTGTATATGTCTTCCCTCTAGTAAGTACATATCTGAACACCACCATCAATATCTCTGTATATATCTTCTCTCTGGTAAGTACATATCTGAACACCACCATTAATATCTCTGTACATGTCCTCCCTCTGGTAAGTACATATCTGAACACCACCATCAATATCTCTATATATGTCTTCCCTCTGGTAAGTACATATCTGAACACCACCATCAATATCTCTGTATATGTCTTCCCTCTGGTAAGTACATATCTGAACACCACCATCAATATCTCTATATATGTCTTCCCTCTGGTAAGTACATATCTGAACACCACCATCAATATCTCTGTATATGCCCTCCCTCTGGTAAGTTCATATCTGAAGTCAGCAAAATAGTGTCTCCGTCTTGCGACAAGCACTTAACTTGGTCGATATGTCGCAGTGTGTGTTAATGTGCTGAATATTTTCCGGGAATTGTGGCGATGGCGAGGATGAAGGGACAAAGGGAAGAAGAGCTGATGGTCTAGTGTACAGACAAAAGTGCATAAAGAGATGCATGGTTAACCGTAAGTATTCCTGTATGACTATGTGCTGGACATGCAATGAGGGAACAAGAGTGACGTCTTTCCAGATGGCCCACTGTACATTAGTAAGCTCTGTCCTTCCAGCAAATTCAAGGGGAAACCTGCCATGGTTTCGTGGCACAATGTTTTCTTGTCAGTCCTTCCAGACGATCCTTTGGATCATGTGACGACAGTGCCAGGTTGTGATCGAATCCTCCAGAACAATACGTGCTGCTTTGAGTTGGTTTGTTTTTGATAATTATGTCGTTTTCCTGTGAGATGGCCTGGATAAGAGTTCCTTCTTTCTATATATACATGCTGCAATACATGTCTTCTTAAATGTCGTTCATATTGTGATTCTTTGGAAATTTCTTTGCCAGCTTAAGAGCACAAATTCATACAAAGGTTTATGCACGAAATACTTTTGCACATTTAACGTTGATTAGTTTTAGGAAAACTCTGATCAAGCAAAGAACCATCAGCAGCTTTGACACTAAATGATTTTAAGAGATGGTACCTTCCTGGAGAAACGCATACTCTTTTTGATTGCAAGAATGTTTTTCCCATCCTGATTGATGACTTCGACCAGACGGAAAATGATGTCTCTATCCTTCTCTCAATAACAGACACAACAGCAAGTTACAGGATAATCTTCTGGACCGGGAACGAACGAGATTATGGTACCAAAGCTGACTTGTTGCTCAACATTGTTGGGTCGTGTGGATCAGTTGCTAAGACATTGAAGAATGGGAAAGACTTCAGGCTACGGAGAGGACACATGAGTAGATTCAGGGTAGGTTAACACGTCCGGGGCTGAAGGTCCCAGGAAAGAGCAGATGTGTATTTTGGTTTGGCTTGTGTACACGTGACATACACGACATGGAAGTATTTGTACAGTAGTCATCGGTGCTCGTGCACCAGTCCTTGCTTGCACAAAATATTGATTTCAAAATATGTTCGAAAGGCTGAAAGAGTGTTCCCAAATCATTACGAGCTGCATATCATATGGCAGTGTTGCAGTGTACAACTGTCCCCCATAATGTACACGAAGCTTCTCCTCTGATGTCCATACAATGACAAACATAGGGAGCAATGTGAGAGCATTATTCAAAACGATTTAATACAAAACCACAAGAAAAGTGCATTACATCGTGAACACACTGCATGATAGTCGGGAATACCTTGCAAAGTCGGAGTTTATCTCATTCAAAAGGTTATCCGGGTACATTTCAGCTTGGTTGTATCGTTTACTTAGTATGTTTCCCTTCAGTTTGTTGACGCTTCCGTCTGCCACGTACAAGAGGCTGGCCTTGCCTTTGTTGAACCCTGCCACTCTGATGACTGGTTCGTTGAATATGTGAGTTACTATCGCGTTACCTTTACGAGTCTATATTATGCTTCCATACATAAACAACAAAGAACATGACGAACTGTTGGGCACCACCGTCACACATTACTGATAGCTTGATGTTCACAGGCACCACCGTCACACATTACTGATAAGATTAATGTTCTCAGACACCACCGTCACACATGACTGATAGGCTTGATGTTCACAGACACCACCGTCACACATTACTGATAGGCTTGATGTTCACAGACACCACCGTCACACATTACTGATAGGCTTGATGTTTACAGACACCACCGTCACACATTTGTGATAATCTTGATGTTCACAGACACCACCGTCACAAATTACTGATAAGCTTGATGTTTACAGACACCACCGTCACACATTATTGATAAGCTTGATGTTCACAGACACCACCGTCACACATTACTGATATGCTTGATGTTCACAGACACCACCGTCACATATTACTGATAAGATAAATGTTCACAGACGCGACCGTCACACATTACTGAGAGGTTTCATGTTCACAGACAGCACCATCACACATTACTGATAAGCTTTATGTTCACAGGCACCACCGTCACACATTACTGATAAGCTTCATGTTCACAGACACCACCGTCACTCATTACTGATGTCCATAGACACCACCGTCACACATTACTGATAAGCTTTATGTTCACAGACACCACCGTCACTCATTACTGATGTCCATAGACACCACCGTCACACATTACTGATAAGCTTCATGTTCACAGACACCACCGTCACACATTACTGATACGCTTGATGTTCACAGACACCACCATCACACATTACTGATGTCCATAGACACCACCGTCACACATTACTGATAAGCTTCATGTTCACAGACACCACCGTCACAAATTACTGATAAGCTTGATGTTCACAGACACCACCGTCACACATTACTGATAAGCTTCATGTTCACAGACACCACCGTCACACGTTACTGATAAGCTTGATGTTCACAGGCGCCACCGTCACACATTACTGATAAGTTTCATGTTCACAGGCACCACCGTCACACATTACTGATACGCTTGATGTTCACAGACACCACCGTCACATATTACTGATAAGCTTCATGTTCACAAACACCACCGTCACACATTACTGATAGGCTTTACGTTCACAGACACCACCGTCACACATTACTGATAGGCCTCATGTTCACAGACACCACCGTCACATATTACTGATAGGCCTCATGTTCACAGACACTACCATCACACATTACTGATAGGCTTCATGTTCACAGACACCACCATCACACATTACAATGTCACTGCTTTTGAATAATACAGTTATTTATTTCCTCGTGGGTTTCTATTGTTTCAGATTGACGTGTGGGCAGTCAATATGGAAACAGGAAAGAAAGATGTTTGGTTTTTCAGGACAGATTATTGGCTTGATGCAAGTGACAATGGCAAACGGACAACTGGAATAACGTGCGTCAGGATACCTGCAATTATGGGTTTGTTTGCCGTTATTGGTGATACAGGTGCTAACTGCTCATCTAGCCAGATATGTGAAGACGTTTGAGAACACGGTCCCTACACATAAAGCGTCCGTAATGCCACCAGCTGTCGTAAATATATAGTGTGTCATAGGCTCTTAAACGACTTACAGCTACAGACACATTGTGGATCAGGCTAGGTAATGCCTTACTCTAACGGTAAACTGTCTACACGCTGTGGATCGGGCCCAGTAATGTCTTACTCTAACGGTAAACTGTCTACACGATGTGGATCGGGCCCATTAATGTCTTACTCTAACGGTAAACTGTCTACACCTTGAGGATTGTCCCAGTAATGCCTTACTCTAACGGTAAACTGTCTACACGATGTGGATCGGGCCCATTATTGTCTTACTCTAACGGTAAACTGTCTACACCTTGAGGATTTTCCCAGCAATGCCTTACTCTAACGGTAAACTGTCTACACGATCTGGATCGGGCCCATTAATGTCTTACTCTAACGGTAAACTGTCTACACGTTGTGGATCGGGCCCATTAATGTCTTACTCTAACGGTAAACTGTCTACACCTTGAGGATTGTCCCAGCAATGCCTTACTCTAACGGTAAACTGTCTACACCTTGAGGATTGTCCCAGCAATGCCTTACTCTAACGGTAAACTGTCTACACGTTGTGGATCGGGCCCAGTAATGTCTTACTGTGACGGTATACTGTCTACACATTGAGGATCGTGCCCATTATGGCCTTACTCTGACGGTAAACTGTCTACACATTTTGGATCGGGCCCATTAATGTCTTACTCTAACGTTAAACTGTCCACACGTTGTGGATCGGGCCCAGTAATGTCTTACCCTAACGGTAAACTGTCTACAGATTTTCGAACGGGCCTAGTAATGTCTAACTCTAACGGTAAACTGTCTACACATTGTGGATCGGGCCCAGTAATGTCTTACTCCAACGGTAAACTGTCTACACCTTGAGGATTGTCCCAGTAATGCCTTACTCTAACGGTAAACTGTCTACACGTTGTGGATCGGGCCATTATGGTCTTACCCTAACGGTAAACTGTCTACACATTTTGGATCGGGCCCAGTAATGTCTTACTCTAACGGTAAACTGTTTACACATTGTGGATCGGGCCCAGTAATGTCTTCCTCTAACGGTAAACTGTCTACACATTTTGGATCGGGCCCAGTAATGTCTTACCCTAACGGTAAACTGTCTACACATTGTGGATCGGGCCCAGTAATGTCTTACTCTAACGGTAAACTGTCTACACATTGAGGATCGGGCCCATTAATGTCTTACACTAACGGTAAACTGTCTACACATAGAGGATCGGGCCCAGTAATGTCTTACTCTAACGGTAAACTGTCTACACGTTGAGGATCGGGCCGATTATGGTCTTACTCTAACGGTAAACTGTCTACACATTGAGGATCGGGCCCAGTAATGTCTTACACTAACGGTAAACTGTCTACACATTGAGGATCGGGCCCATTATGGTCTTACTCTAACGGTAAACTGTCTACACATTGAGGATCGGGCCCGGTAATGTCTTACACTAACGGTAAACTGTCTACACATTGTGGATCGGGCCCAGTAATGACTTACTCTAACGGTAAACGGTCTACACGTTGAGGATCGAGCCCATTATGGTCTTACTCTAACGGTAAACTGTCTACACATTGAGGATCGGGCCCAGTAATGTCTTACACTAACGGTAAACTGTCTACACATTGAGGATCGGGCCCATTATGGTCTTACTCTAACAGTAAACTGTCTACACGTTGAGGATCGGGCCCATTAATGTCTTACACTAACGGTAATCTGTCTACACGTTATGGATCGGGCCCAGTAATGTCTTACTCTAACGGGAAACTATCTACACATTGTGGATCTGACCCAGTAATGTCTCACTCTAACGGTAAACTGTCTACACATTCAGGATCGGGACCAGTAATGTCTTACTCTAACGGTAAACTGTCTACACCTTGAGGATCGGGCCCAGTAATGTCTACACATTGTGGAATGGGGAACAATAATGTCTTACACTAACGGTAAACTGTCTACAGATTGTGGATCGGGCCCAGTAATATCTAACTCTGACGGTAAACTGTCTATACGTTGTGGATCGGGCCCAGTAATGTCTTACACTAATGGTAAACTGTTTACACAGTGTGGATCGGGCCCAGTAATGTCTTACTCTAACGGTAAACTGTCTACACGATGTGGATCGGGCCCAGTAATGTCTTACTCTAACGGTAAACTGTCTACACATTGAGGATCGGGCCCATTATGGTCTTACTCTAACAGTAACTGTCTACACGTTGAGGATCGGGCCCAGTAATGTCTTACACTAACGGTAAACTGTCTACACATTGTGGATCGGGTCCAGTAATGTCTTACTCTAACGGGAAACTGTCTACACATTGTGGATCTGACCCAGTAATGTCTCACTCTAACGGTAAACTGTCTACACATTCAGGATCGGGACCAGTAATGTCTTACTCTAACGGTAAACTGTCTACACCTTGAGGATCGGGCCCAGTAATGTCTACACATTGTGGAATGGGGAACAATAATGTCTTACACTAACGGTAAACTGTCTGCACATTGTGGATCGGGCCCAGTAATGTCTAACTCTGACGGTAAACTGTCTATACGTTGTGGATCGGGCCCAGTAATGTCCTACTCTAACGGTAAACTTTTTACACATTGTGGATCGGGCCCAGTAATGTCTTACTCTAACGGTAAACTGTCTACACATTCAGGATCGGGCCCAGTAATGTCTTACCCTAGCGGTAAACTGTCTACTCATTGTGGATCGGGCCCAGTAATGTCTTACTCTAACGGTAAACTGTCTACACATTCAGGATCGGGACCAGTAATGTCTTACTCTAACGGTAAACTGTATGCACGTTGAGGATTCGGCCCAGTAATGTCTTACTCTCACGGTAAACTGTCTACACCTTGAGGATCGGGCCCAGTAATGTCTACACATTGTGGAATGGGGAACAATAATGTCTTACACTAACGGTAAACTGTCTACACATTGTGGATCGGGCCCAGTAATGTCTAACTCTGACGGTAAAGTGTCTATACGTTGTGGATCGCGCCCAGTAATGTCTTACTCTAACTGTAAACTGTTTACATATTGTGGATCGGGCCCAGTAATGTCTTACTCTAACGGGAAACTGTCTACACATTTTGGATCGTGCCCAGTAATGTCTTACCCTAACGGTAAACTGTCTACACATTGTGGATCGGGCCCATTAATGTCTTACTCTAACGGTAAACTGTCTACACATTGTGGATCGGGCCCAGTAATGTCTTACTCTAACGGTAACCTGTCTACACATTCAGGATCGGGCCCATTATGGTCTTACTCTAACGGTAAACTGTCTACACATTGAGGATCGGGCCCATTAATGTCTTACACTAACGGTAAACTGTCTACACATTGAGGATCGGGCCCAGTAATGTCTTACTCTAACGGTAAACTGTCTACACGTTGAGGATCGGGCCCATTATGGTCTTACTCTAACGGTAAACTGTCTACACATTGAGGATCGGGCCCAGTAATGTCTTACACTAACGGTAAACTGTCTACACATTGAGGATCGGGCCCATTATGGTCTTACTCTAACGGTAAACTGTCTACACATTGAGCATCGGGCCCATTAATGTCTTACACTAACGGTAAACTGTCTACACATTGTGGATCGGGCCCGGTAATGTCTTACTCTAACGGTAAACTGTCTACACGTTGAGGATCGGGCCCATCATGGTCATACTCTAACGGTAAACTGTCTACACATTGAGGATCGGGCCCAGTAATGTCTTACACTAACGGTAAACTGTCTACACATTGAGGATCGGGCCCATTATGGTCTTACTCTAACGGTAAACTGTCTACACATTGAGCATGGGGCCCATTAATGTCTTACACTAACGGTAAACTGTCTACACGTTGTGCATCGGGCCCAGTAATGTCTCACTCTGACGGTAAACTGTCTACACATTGGGGATCGGGCCCATTATGGTCTTACTCTAACAGTAAACTGTCTACACGTTGAGGATCGGGCCCATTAATGTCTTACATTAACGGTAAACTGTCTACACATTCAGGATCGGGACCAGTAATGTCTTACTCTAACGGTAAACTGTCTACACCTTGAGGATCGGGCCCAGTAATGTCTACACAATGTGGAATGGGGAACAATAATGTCTTACACTAGCGGTAAACTGTCTACAGATTGTGGATCGGGCCCAGTAATATCTAACTCTGACGGTAAACTGTCTATACGTTGTGGATCGGGCCCAGTAATGTCTTACACTAACGGTAAACTGTTTACACATTGTGGATCGGGCCCAGTAATGTCTTACTCTAACGGTAAACTGTCTACACGATGTGGATCGGGCCCAGTAATGTCTTTACTCTGACGGTAAACTGTCTACACATTGAGGACCGGGCCCATTATGGTCTTACTCTAACAGTAAACTGTCTACACATTGAGGATCGGGCCCATTAATGTCTTACACTAACGGTAAACTGTCTACACATTGTGGATAAAGTCCAGTAATGTCTTACTCTAACGGGAAACTGTCTACACATTGTGGATCTGACCCAGTAATGTCTCACTCTAACGGTAAACTGTCTACACATTCAGGATCGGGACCAGTAATGTCTTACTCTAACGGTAAACTGTCTACACCTTGAGGATCGGGCCCAGCAATGTCTACACATTGTGGAATGGGGAACAATAATGTCTTACACTAACGGTAAACTGTCTGCACATTGTGGATCGGGCCCAGTAATGTTTAACTCTGACGGTAAACTGTCTATACGTTGTGGATCGGGCCCAGTAATGTCTTACTCTAACGGTAAACTTTTTACACATTGTGGATCGGGCCAAGTAATGTCTTACTCTAACGGTAAACTGTCTACACATTCAGGATCGGGCCCAGTAATGTCTTACCCTAACGGTAAACTGTCTACACATTGTGGATCGGGCCCAGTAATGTCTTACTCTAACGGTAAACTGTCTACACATTCAGGATCGGGACCAGTAATGTCTTACTCTAACGGTAAACTGTATGCACGTTGAGGATTCGGCCCAGTAATGTCTTACTCTAACGGTAAACTGTCTACACCTTGAGGATCGGGCCCATTAATGTCTACACATTGTGGAATGGGGAACAATAATGTCTTACACTA